GGATTTAGATTAAGATGACTGTCAAAGTAGGAAAGGTGAAAACAGGGTAGATTCCCATAAAGGCAAATGCAGTGCAAATCGTTCGTATTGGGGAATTTAAACACCATAGGATGTCATGCAGGTGAAACATTTCAAAGGCATGGCAGGAAACATTTTGGGTACCTAATGAGCCACACAGTAAGGCAAATATAATTTTTTATTACAGGAAGTATCCTGTTGTCTTACTTAAAATGTGACAGCTACAAGAGCCTAACAAAGTGCTGATTGTATACAGATGAAGTGTCACAGAATTTTTACCAATGTATGACATGATTGAGATGGAAAGATTTCCTAGAGAACAATAAAAAGAACAAGAATTTGGAAATGGTAGTGATTTGACAGAAATAAAGCCTTGCAATTAGAATATTTAGTCTTGAAAAAAGTAGTACTAGGGAAATGCATGTTCATCTTTCTTACTGCAAAACATGAAAATGAAAATGGACAATTTCAGTACCTGGAGCCATTTTGCAACTGAATTCATCTAGGTATTCTACTCACTCCCTCATTTATTTTTTATTCTTTTTCTTTTTTTCTTTTTTTTTTTTTGGCTTGAGTAGATTTCGTATTTCAGTAATATGAAGATTTCCACTTAAAACTGTGACCTCGGGTTTGGTTTTGTTTCCCAGACTCCCGGATTAGTAGCCACTAAGCTACTTTAAGTTCTGGGGTACACGTGCTGATCGTGCAAGTTTGTTACATAGGTATACATGTGCCTTGGTGGTGGTTTGCTGCATCCACCGCCCCGTCATCTACATTATGTATTTCTCCTAATGCTATCCCTCCCTAATACCCCCACCCCGTGCTATTCCTCCCTAGCCCCCCACCCCCCAGGCCTCAGTGTGTGATGTTCCCCTCCCTGTGTCCCTGTGTTCTCATTGTTCAACACCCACTTATGAGTGAGAACATGTGGTGTTTGGTTTTCTGTTCCGGTGTCAGTTTGCTGAGAATGATCATTTCCAGTTTCATCCATGTCCCTGCAAAGGACATGAACTCATCCTTTTTTATGGCTGCATAGTATTCCATGGTGTATATGTGCCACATTTTCTTTATCCAGTCTATCATTGATGGATGTTTGGGTTGGTTCTAAGTCTTTGCTATTGTGAACAGTGCTGCAATAAACATACATGTGCATGTGTCTTTATAATAGAATTATTTCTAATCCTATGGGTGTATACCCAGTAATGGGATTGCTGGGTCAAATGATATTTCTATTTCTAGATCCTTGAGGAATTGCCATACTGTCCTCCACAATGATTGAATTAATTTACACTCCCACCAACAGTGTAAAAGTGTTCCTATTTTTCCACATCCTCTCCAGCATCTTTTGTCTCCTGATTTTTTAATGATCACCATTCTAACTGCTGTGAGGTGGTATCTCAATGTGGTTTTGATCTGCATTTCTCTAATGACCAGTGATGATGAGCATTTTTTCATATGTTTGCTTGCCTCATAAATGTCTTCTTTCAAAAAATGTCTGTTCATGTCTTTCATCCACTTTTGAATGGGTTTGTTTGGTTTGTTTTCTTGTAAATCTGCTTTAGTTCTTGTAGATTCTGGATATTAGCCCTTTGTTAGATGGGTAGATTGCAAAAATTTTTCCCATTCTGTTGGTTGCCGGTTCACTCTAATGATTGTTTCTTTTGTTGTGCAGAAGGTCTTAAGTTTAATTAAATCCTATTTGTCTATTTTGGTTTTTGTTGCCATTGCTTTTGGTGTGTTAGCCATGAAGTCCTTGCCCATGCTAATGTCCTATATGGTATTGGCCTAGGTTTTCTTCTAGAGTTTCTATGGTGCTAGGCCTCATGTTTAAATCTTTAATCCATATAGAGTTAATTTTTGTATAAGATGTAAGGAAGAGATCCAGTTTCAGCTTTCTGCATATGGCTAGCCAGTTTTCCCAACACCATTTATTAAATAGGGAACCCTTTCCCCATTGCTTGTTTTTGTCAGGTTTGTCAAAGATCAGATGGTTGTATTATTTTTTATTCATTTTTTTTTTAAGTTTACTGAGCATCTCAGACACTGTGTTAGGAAAAGGAAATTCCAAGAAGAATGAAAAATATTTTCTGCCCTCAGAGAGCAGTCTAATGGAGGATGAACAACTATACAAGAACTGCAAGTAGGTGTGAAGAATACAGTAAAGCAGCAAAGTGATTAAATGAGGGGATGGGACTTGCATTGGAGTTAGATGTTTAAGAAGGGACAACTGGAAGGTGAAATTTCATGATTTTATCATGGGTAGTAAAGTCATCAAAGTTATAAAGGAGAGTGTCCCATCTCTCTAGATGGGAGATTTAGTGGTACTCAGGGGTGAAATGTGGTATTTATCAAGCGACAATGTAAAGCATGGATCAAAAAAGTTAAGAGATCCTAAACTGTATTCCTGACAAGACAATTTTCTTCTCTGGAAATGCTAATGGAGGCATTTCTGGTGCTCTACTAACCTGCTGTAAACATGCACGTGAACACCAAAATCCCTGTTTATAATAGCAAAAAGCTGGACCAGCCTAAATATCTAACGATAAGGCAATTGTTAAATACAGTCTAAACTATGGAATAGATTATTAAGAGTATTAAGAAAAATGATGTTTGTATATTTGGTAGACGGCAGGAAAATATCCAAATTACACTATTAAAAATGGAGAAAAAAGTCTTAGTACAATAAATAGTTATGGTCTCATTTGTATGGGTATGTATGTATATCTACACACACACACAAACACATACAGCTACCCACAAACACACACATACATATCCAGCACACAACCAAACGTACCACTAGAGTAAGCTGTAGGGAAAGAGAGCAATGAGAGAGAAGGTAGGAAAAGCCAGAAGAGACAAGAGAGCCTTTCAATTTTTATCCTGCGTTTTTCTATATATTTCAATATTTTTCAACATCCATAGACTTTGTTTTGCAATTTAAAAAAGGAATGAGATAATAGCCATGATGCATTGAGCATATTGTCTGCCATGTGGCAAGCAATAAATGTTAATTGACTCTTCTAAGGTGGCAAGAAAGCACGACTTGCTCAAAATGATTTAAATCTCCATACAGTATCATATCTTTTTTTAATTTTATTTTAAATAAAGACAGGGTCGCTCTTTGTCACCCAAGCTGGAGTGCAGTAGTGGGATCATAACTCAACTGAAACCTTGAAATCCTGGGCTCAAGTGATTCTCCTGCCTCAGTCCCCCAAATAGCTGAGACTACATGCATGTGTCACCATGCCTTGCCTGCATACAATATCATATTGATGTTTATAAATAAATGTTTTCTCTTCTAGAAAATGAAATAAATTTTCTTAAATTATAGTCAGTAGATTTTTACCTTAACTATGTTGTTAAATATGTGTTGTGCTTATTTAATCATTTAGGACTTCGTTATTCAAAAGCTAAGCGTGAACAGGAAGCCTTCCAAATCTGGATAATACCAGACTTTGGATATGCACCAGAAATTTCCGGCCTTCTATTACAGCTTTATCTGTAGTATACTAAACTTTTAACATATTCAACATTCAGAGTTTATTTTCCTGTTATCTATTTATTGCTGAAAACTAAGGTCAAATCAAGCTCACCTTACAATAACCAATACATATTCAGTAAGTTAAAATGAAATTACATTTTATAGAACTTTTTATTATAAAGAATTTGAAACACTCTGTAAGTAGATCATCTTTTATTATATTCAATCATCCTTGTTTTATTCAAGTTGTGAATAAATTGAATTGAAAATCAAATTGTTTTCTGAAATGTGCTGATATACTCTATTAAAATCCTTCATGGTGAGTTTCTTTGTAATTAAAAGAACCATTTATAATTTTAATTAACATTTTTAAGTTTATTTGTGGGTAAGTTAAGCCTGCTGGATTTTCCTAACGCAAGACATTGTTTTGCCAAGGAAATGATAGAAGTTTCTAGGTTGTGATAAAAAATATTGAAACATCAAAAGCCGTTTCTTTTTACATGTTCATTGTGTTATTAAGTGCCTGAGAACCTGTTCTTTCTTTATTTTTATTGGATTGATGCCAAAAATACTTTTTGTGTGAAACAATAGCAATGATATAATATGTATATTTCTTTGACTTTTATTATACCCATATTTTAATGTTTGAAAATGTCTAAAATTTGGCTTGTGAGCAAAGGTATAGGACAAAATTGAGGTATGACCCCAAGTGGTCAAGCAGACTGACACCCCCTAACAAAATTTAGTTAAATTAAATAACATTTCTTACACAACTCATCACTCTTGATTCTCTGGTCTATCAGGCTGAGGGTAAATAGAGACTCTCCTCAATACCCCCATCGAGTTGGGATTCCCATGGAATATTATTTTATTTAGCTTTTTGTTTTTGAGATAATTATAAATTTACGCACAGCTATAAGAAATAATTTTACTCAGTTTCCACCAGTAGCAACATTTTGCAAAACTATTGCACATTATCACTACCAGGATATTCACATTGATGCAATTCGTCAATATTATTCAGATTTTCCCCAGTCGTGTGGGGGTGTGTGTGTGTGTGTGTGCGCGCGCGCGCCCGTGCACGCGCATTTGGTTCTGTGTAATTTTATCTTATGTGCAGTTATTCATGTCAACCACTGCAGGCAAGATAGCAAACATTTTCATCACCACAAGGATATTTTGTTGCATGTTTTCAACCACATCCCCCTCCCCATGATCCCCAATCCTCTCTCTCCCACCCTGCTTGGACTTTTTACAGGTTGAGAATTGGATGACGGTATGTTTTCTAGGTACCTTTTGGGAAGGAACTGATTTCTCACTTTCCTCTTATTAATGTCTGTGAATAAATTATAGTAAAGAAGCATAGCCTGGAGTTGTACGTGTCCCCATTGTTTGGCAAAGGACCTAACAACGTGGGTGAGGGGCTGCCTGGGCTGTGCAGCATTTCTAACTCTTGAAGGAACAAAGCCAAATTTGCTACCTTTGTTTTCATTACCAGATTACGCTCGATTTGAGGCCAAAATCCATGACCTACGAGAGCAGATGATGAACCACAGCATGAGTTCCGGGTCCGGGTCCCTGCGAACCAATCAGAAACGCTCCCTCTATGTCAGGTAGGCAATGGAGTATTTATCTGTACTTTGTGAGCATTGCAACTTGAGAAAACAAAGGCAACACCGTGAAGCAACAGAACATGTGTTCTAATTACCACCTGCTCATCAATACACTGCTGAATGACCTTATGTTTAACCATTTGGAATAAGTGTTTGAAATGTTATTAGAGTAAATTAGTTAAAGGTGCCTGCTTTTATCAAGTTATTCTTTGGCAATGTTATGATTCAGGATAAAGTGCCTAGCATAGGTTGCAATAACAATGAGAAGAAACATTTTCATTTCTAATAAATCTTAAATATGTGGGCCAAAGCCCTGGGCATTTGCTTACCATCAATGTGAAAAGAAAATATGCCTGTATCATCTCCTAACCTACCTGATATTGATTGCATTAGCTTTAGTGCATTGATTTAAAATCCGTGGTGTTCTTCTAAATAGTTATGTGCTTTTCTCTAACGAGTTTTGGCAGAAAGACTTCCTTCTGTGTCATCTCATTACCAGTTGTTCTCAGACCATAAAAGTTACTTGTTCCTTGTCTGACAAAACTCATTAATCTACCAAAAAAAGAAAAATGATTGATTGAATGTGAAATGCCTTCCAGCCTTTCATCCTAGTAGCTACCTCTTAAGTAAAATCCATCAGCACTCAACTATAACATGCTCCTCTTCCGAGAAAAGCCTCCTATATTACTTCCAAACTTCATCAGTGCTTACTGTACCTTTAAAAATAATATAAGCACTAACACACAAAAGGAAGAAAGTGATGCCTAATTAATGGTCAACATGAATCGATGTACCATATGGAGAAAACATGCCTATTCTTAATATAGCCTCCACTTCCCACTCTGGCCCAGAATCCAGTCTGACTCCAATCTGAGGTCATATCCTTCTTACCTGAAATCTTAGGCATGAGGTATGTGTTGTAGATACTAATTTACATACTTGAGTTGAACGTTTGCCATTGGTTCCACTTTGGCTGTAAAGTTAAGTTTTGTGTGTATTTAATATTCACAGCAGGGCTGAGAAGGGAGTGGGATTCTGGAAGGCACAGCTTATCATAGACCTTAATTTCCTGACTGATCTGATAAGTCTAGACTCCCTTCTTCCAGGGAAGCCCTGAGATATAGAAAACAAACCATAAAACAGGTTATTAACCCTCAAATTTGGCCAACTCCATTTCAAAAGATGATTTTGATTGCCTTAATTGTAATCTGTGACTGTTGAGAACCACCCTAGAACATGTCTTGGAGTGACAACACAAATATGATGGAAAGTTAGCAGCTCTATTTGTGGATCTTCTTCTCTCTTGTGTTGTATTGGTGGTCTGCGTGCTACAAAATATTTTTAAATCTTGAAATATTTTAGTCCTGGGTAGCAAATTGGAAAATGCTAGGTTAATAGGACAGAAATAAATCAGTCAATGCAACTGAAATGGTAATATATAATAAAACTGGAAGGGAAAATTACCAAGTTGTGGGTATCTTACTAAGAAATAGAATGCATAAATTGTTGTTAAGGTACTAGAAGAAATTTGCTGAAATATATTGCTAATAGCTATTAATTGTGGAAGATTAAGAAAATTAAATGAAGTAATATGATATTATATAAAACTAATACACTTATTTGAAAGAGTAGTAGTGAGATTCAAATCTTTATTATATAAAATGGTAAATAAAAGTATAACATACAGAAGAGGCAAAGACTTAAAGTAACAAAGTTATAGTTGGAGATTGTATTGAAGAGAGGAACCTCTTTTTTAATGAGACTCAAAAATACTTGACACTTCATAGGAAATTCCCAAATGAGATCTCTATAATATACAAATATGGCATTTGGTTTCCAAATGTTCAGTTATTAGTACTTATTTTGCACCTAGAAGGCTGACTTTAGCATCTAAACGACTCTAAGAAACTTAGACTTAGAAGAAATATGGGGCATGCATATAGTCACATTAGCAAATCAGAAAGAAAGAACTTTCGAGAGCCCCCTGGCCTTATTCTAATGAAAAATGAGAAGACAGACCGAAAAAAGAAATCAAGAAGCAAGGCCTAAGTGAAATTCTTACCAAAAGGGATTCAGCAAGTTTGTACCTTTATACTTCTTTAAAATACTAATTTTGCCTACAGGATTTTCATAAAGATGTTTGCTTTATAGCACTTCTATAGAACCATGGTCAGTTGTGTTTATTTTAGAAAGTCAACTGCTTGCTTTCTCAGAATAAATTACTAGCAAGGTTTACCTGATTATATAAATATAAGAGGATGAGCATGTCTCAAATCTGAGAATAACATACTGAAAATGGTATTATTCTCCTCATTTTGCTTAGCTTTATGTAATTCTAGTGCTAGAAGGCACCTTAGCTATCGCTGGGCACACTGCTTCATTTATAGCAGAGGAAACTGAGGCCCCAGGAGAACAGAGACAGAGACTTGCCTGGGAGCCCACAGTTATTTGTGGCAGAGTCAGCTCTCCTCCCCACCCTCCCACCACTTCTCCCCACATCACTATGCCTCCCTGAGGGCTTAGTTTATGTGGTGTCAGCTGTTGAATACACTTTAGCTGTGATTCTCAATCTGCTTCTGTCAGCACAGTGCTGGACTCTTTGATTGAGGAATAAAGAGAGGAGAAATTCAAACACAAATGTCTTTGGGGTTTTTGCACAGGATAAACTGTGCTGTAGGAATATGGGATTTCTTTGGTATTATTTATATTTTTCTACGAAGCCAAAACCTAAATCAGAAAGCAAGCAGCTTCTTTGTCCTGTGAGAAACAATTTAGCTGACTTAGTAAAATATTTGCTTGCACCAAAAAATCATTCTTCTCCTTGGATTTACCTCACATGCCCTACACACACACACACACACACACGTGCGCACATGCGTGCACTGACACGCATGTGCTCAATTCTACCCCTGGTCCTGGTGGTGTCAGAGAGAATGTACCTTCCTGGGGTCTTCAGAAGCTGCCTTCATTTTCCCACTAGAAATGATCTTCCCAGGTGGAAGCAATTTGTTTACCTGAAATTTTAAAGGGAGTGGTAACCAGCGCTATCTGAACCAGGCAGTATTTTAAACATGAGCCAACCCTCTCTATCTTCCAATCCAATTATAATGTTTTCTTTCTTTTAATCTTTTGTGCGAAGTGCTTGAAGTACTCTGGTGGTGCTTTGCAAATGGAATTGATTGTTGCTGATGTTAACCGTTCATGTCCTATGGGAATGATCTGGATATGTTTAATATGCTACTTGTATTGTGTATTTCCCACATTGTGAAACATAGAGTGGTAAAACATTGTAAAACATGTAGTTCATTTAAAAGTAAATAAAGTTACAAATATGGCTAAAATGTTTTTCAAAATGCTGCACAAGTATATTACCAATTCTTCAAACACAGATGTACTTAGGCTCCAGAGCTACTGGAATATGAATTTTGTGGCATGTATTTTGAGGCTCTTGTTGTGTGCAGAGATAGTAGGCAAGTGCCTTGGAAGAGTAAGTTTATGAAAGCTCATGAAGATCTCCCTACCTCTAAAATATTCCTTTCCCTTCTTACCTACCAGCTGATAAAAACCTGGCATAATAAAGAAAGAACAAGGCTTTTCCAGCTACTAACAGGGATGCACCTTTATGTATAAATACTGCTAGGAAAAGTCAAAGGTATCAGGGATTAAATTTATACAAAAGTGCAAATTTCTTTTTTTTTTTTTGAGACAGAGTTTCGCTCTTGTTACCCAGGCTGGAGTTCAGTGGTGCAACCTCGGCTCACTGCAACTGTCGCCTCCTAGATTCAAGTAATTCTGCTGCCTCAGCCTCCCAAGTAGCTGGGACTACAGGTGCACGCCACCATGCCCAGCTAATTTTTGTATTTTCAGTAGAGATGAGGTTTCACCATGTTGACCAGGATAGTCTCAATCTCTTGACCTCATGCAAAAGTGCAAATTTCTAAAGAACAATCCTTTGTTTTGATAAAAGGAAAGTTAGAGGAGTACCCAGGATGCTGGGAGAATGGGGAGGGGAAGAAATAAAGCTAATCAGTCCACCATTAACTTGGAGAAGTTAAATGATTTCCCTAAGATCACACAGCTAGGCAACATGAGCATAGACTTTCAGATCTATTTGTGAGGCATCGTAGAGCAGCATTTAAGCACACAGTTGCTAGATTCTGCCAGATAGAAAAACACATGAATCATGGTTCTGCCACTTCCTAGCTTTGTGACCATGGACAGATCAGTCTCTCTGGACTTATTTTAACTGTGAAGATGAGTGTAGTAATAGGATACCATAAATTGGTTATGAGGATTAAATAAAATAGCGAATTTAGAGGCTGGGCACAGTGGCTCACACCTGTAATCCCAGCACTCTGGGAGGCCGAGGTGGGCGGATCACCTGAGGTCAGATTAAGACCATCCTAGCCAACATAGTGAAACCCATCTCTACCAAAAATACAAAAATTAGCCAGGCACGGTGGCACATGTCTGTATTCTCAGCTACTTGGGAGGCTGAGGCAGGAGAATCACTTGAACCCGAAGGCGGAGGTTGCAGTGAGCCGAGATCACACCACTGCTCTCCAGCCTGACAACAGAGCAAGACTCTGTCTCAAAAAAAAAAATGAATTTAGGTATCTGGCACCTGGAAAGTAGTTGATAAATGTCGGCAATATTCATCATTTATTATAAAGCCACCTTTTCCTTGTCGAAGACCACAGAATAGGCAGTGACTAAGACACTATTTTCTTAGCAGTGAGATAAGCCTCTCTCATCCCCTTGCATGCGTTCAGCTAAGGGAGAAGGACAGACTTCCTGATGACTTTTAGATTTGTGCTCCTCTAGACCGCATGAAGCCTGAAGGGGATGGCCAGCATTCCATGGCTCCAGAATACTCAGCTCTGTCAACTCATCAGCGTTTCTCATCCAAACAAGGCTCTACTCAGAGGCAGAACCTAAAAAGAAATCAGTAGAAGCCACATGATAGAAAGACTCACTGCATATACAGTAGGCCATTCCAA